ATACCAGTTGTATAATTTGAGGCTTGTGTAGCCAAATACAATGCCATTGGGGCAATTTCTTCTACATTTCCCATACGAGCAATCGGAAGATTTTTGGTGAAATGATTTAGCATTTTTTCGTTTTCCCAAAGAGCTTGGCTAAACTTGGTTTTTATCAAACCTGGGCAAATTGCATTAACTCTAATACCGTCTTTGCCCCATTCTTTGGCAGTAACTTTGGTAAGCATATTTAAAGATGCTTTACTAACGCTATAAATACCCAATCCTGCATCGGGCGTTGAGCCTGCCACACTACTAATGTTGATAATGCTTCCACCTCCACGAGCCTGCATAATTGGATGTACAATCTTGCAAAGTTCAAATGGGGCTTTCACATTCACTTGTATAATTTTATCAAAAGCATCGCCCGAACAATCTAAAACAGGACCAAAAACAGGATTTGTAGCTGCATTATTGACCAAAATATCAATGCCGCCAAATGCTTCAAGCGTTTTAGCTACAAGGTTTTTGAGTTGTTCTATATCGCCCGCATGAGCCGCTATGGGCAAAACCTCCGCACCATATTCGGCTTTTATTTCAGCAGCTAAAACATCTAAATCGGCTTGTTTTCTGCTACTAATTACCACTTTAGCACCATAAGCTGCATAAATACGAGCAATTGCTTCGCCAATGCCTTTGCTTGCTCCTGTAATAACAGCAACTTTGCCCGAAAGATTGAATACGTTTTTATAGTCCATTTTATTGAATTGTTAAACCACCGTCTAAAATAATACTATTACCTGTCATAAATGAGCTTTCGTCAGAAGATAAATAAAGTATTGCCGTAGCAATTTCTTCTGGATTTCCGAAGCGTTTCATGGGTGTAGCCTGAATCAAAGCATCTAAATAAGCATCTTCTACATCTGCCATTTCCATCATTGCTGTTTGTGTAAAACCGGGGCAAACCGCATTGATTCTGATACCGTGTTTGGCATATTCAATGGCAGCCGTTTTGGTAAGACCTAATACGGCGTGTTTACTTGCCGAATACGCAATATGCCCTGCCATACCAACCGAGCCAGCAATTGAGGCAATATTTACGATAACGCCTTTTTTACGCTCCATAAAGCTCTTTAAAGCCACTTTCATGCAATACCAAACACCTTTTACATTGACATCAATCACTTTGTCAAATGCTTCCATGGTATATTTATCAGTACGCATTCTTGGTCCTAAAATTCCTGCACAGTTCACAATAATATCGACATTCCCGATGCGATGTTCGGTTTCAGAAAACATGCGTTCTACATCATCATAATCTGCCACATTGACTCTTATAAACGAGGCTTCTCCGCCAGTTTTTTCAATTTCTTCTACCAAATCATCACCCATTTTTTCTGATAAATCAGCAATCATTACTTTAGCCCCTTCTTTGGCATAAGCAATTACGGCAGCTTTTCCGATACCCGAATTTCCACCTGTGACAAGAACCACTTTATCTTTGAAACGCAT